CAGTGAACTACTTTGCAAGGGCACAGTTAAAGAGTAGAAATGTTATGATAATCCTAAACAAAACGTCACCTGGATTTATAGACATTCAATAGGATAGCAGTCTCATTCTAAGGAAAACTATCCTCATTATGGCCATGAAGCCTCCCCAGCTACTTAGTCAGCTGCTTCCTTTCGGTTTAATTACTACATTTGGCATAATTCTGTGCACCAAGATGAGAAGAGACAATACATCCTGTGAGGTTTTAGCCATAATCTGGATGTTGCACAGTGTTTGAGATTTCACAGAAGTGAGCAGTTCAGCCCCTTGTTAAGATGTTGCAGTTTAAAAAACCCCACGTCTTTCAAGTCCTGCATTTTTCATATTCGTAAAGCCAGACATCTGAAAGCCAGAAGCAGTGGTTTCTCCATTGGGTGTTGGCACAAAAAGCAAAGATATCCATCTATCCCATATCTAACACAGGAAACATTGTGTAGGAATTGTCCTTACAAGGCATGTGGGATGTGCCAGGTTTGTGCCACTTACAAAAAACACACTTGGGAATCACATTATCTCCATGACAACTGCTTGTACGTATTAATAATTTGTTGTGTACTTAAACATAGCTTATGGAAAGGACTGAAAAATATGAGTTTTTCCAAAGAAAGCACTTGTAACACAAGCTGTGCTGATCAGAGTGTCACACCAGCAATCAGCAAGCCTAAAGCCTCCAGCATGAGCTTAGCAGGACATTTCACAAATGATTATGTTACCTGTTTAAAAGTAAGGAATTTAAGGATGGGTCCAAGTATCTATTGAACTGGGGTCTCTACTCTCGACTCTCAATGCTTCTGTCATGTTTGCAAAGGGAGTTAATTTCAGCATCTGTTTCCTCATCAGGCTGAAATCATGTATTTGTCCATCTGGTGATAAAGTGATAATATTTGTCCTGGCAGAGGTGGTGTGTATCAAGTATTTTAGAGATTAAAACTAGTAGATGATAGGTAGGAGGAACGTGGCTCTGTGCTCAGGTGCACAAGGATGTACCTACTGCCCCAGTGCTCCTACCCAGCCAGGCTGGACACAGAGTTCAGTGCCACACTCACGGGGAGAGAGCAGGACATAAAATATTTGCCAAATATTAAGCCCCTAACATTGGAGAATCAGCACTCTATTCCTAGCTTTTAAAAGACTCTTGACTATGAAATATCTGTAACCATAGTGATTTGAAAATGTGATTTTCATGGTTACTCTGTAATTTCTTCTTTCAGTAAGACACTGCACTTCCTGCTTTATCTACAACACGAGTGTGAACGATGAAATAGCAGATTTGAGTAATATGTTTTGTGGTATACAAGATGATTAATAATGAAATTCCGTATTTTAAAGAAGCCATTCAGTTAAAGTGAGTGGGCCTCTGTTGATAGTGGTATTACTGATGTCACTGATTTTGTCATATGCTATCTGGACTCTGAAATTAGTCAAATATACAGAAATAGTATTTGTTTGTGGTGATGTAACATATCTGATATAAATGTGTTCTCTTTTTCTTTTGGTCTTTTGTAATAGTTCTGCTTAAGATGACAGGCTTATCTGATTTATTTAAGACACAAAACATATATTTCATCCACTAGTGCCAGTACCTGAACATGCAAGAGATTACATGATGTGTACTTCTGAATTTATTTGATCAGAAGTCCCTCTTCTCATAGAGGCAGTTGATTTCCACACTAATGTACCAGTGTCTATATTCTTTGCTTGCAGAAATACATGTATTAATCAAGGTTGGCAGCTCTACATCTAAAGGTGGCATATCATTGTTACACTATTGTATAGCCTTCAAATTGTATAGTACAGTCCTTATATTGTATTGCCTAGCCCTTTAATTCTGCATTTAGTATTAAAACACCATAGTAAACAGACATTTTGGACACGCATTGATGGATGATTTAGAATCACTAAAATATTGAGAGTCAGGTGTGAAGAAAATTAATTTACGTGTTCCTTACTCTACAATGCTAAGTTGAAAATACGTTGTATAGTTGGACGGTGTGATATAAATCTGCATTTAAACACTGACTCATAGTACAATGGAAATGTTGATGTTACTGATAAGATTACTGCAGTTGCTAACACCCTCGTCCATGAGTTTGAGATTAATTTCAGACTAGTACAGGATTAGTTGGCACTATAGGCTAACAACTGAGTAACCTACAGCTGGATGTGTGTAAACGTAAGTGCAGTCAGCCTGAGCAGTTCAGCTCTCTCCACACATGTGACATGTGGGTCCCTGACTCAGGTGTCAGCACAGCAGTGTGGCCTCCATACCCCTGACTCACTGGGGCAGCCACACCCAGACAGCTCCTTAGGTACAAACCACACACATGCCTGGCATATATTCACATACTAAATACAACTTATTACTGCCATCTCACAGGTTACAGTTTAATCTTGCTGCGTATCTGAAGCCCTGACAAACACCCAACTTATGCAACACAGCACACATCCTTTAATTATTACATTATTGTACTTAAAAGGCTCAGATAAATATCTGAGAAAAGCAACTGTGATTCTCTAAACTATTGATTGTCATTCTCAAGTCAGAGGAAGGAAGGATCTGATTTCTGATCTACATATAGACAATTCAAGAGTATGAGGATACAATCCAGAGCTAATGCTTGGAACGGAGACAGAAACCAAAGCTTTCCCCTTCTCTGTGAGTGTCCAGATAAACAAATCCTGAATTTCCTTTGCAGAGTACTGAATTCTCCTATAGTGAGTGGCATAGCTTAAGCTTTCAGTGGCAAGCAGGGAGTGCTGAATCATCTACCCCTTCCCAACTGGAGACTGGAGCAAAAAGAGCTGTGACTGAGTCTTTCCAAACAAGTGTTCCTTTCTTTATCACTACGCTCCTGGGAACCAATGGTGGGGTTGGGAACCATCACAATTGCTCTAAAGACAGCAGGGATTATTAATCTGTGAACTGTCCAGTCTGATGCACACTACCAGGAAGAAACTATTAACCTGGCTTGTTTGCCTACAAAACTGCAACTGAAATCCTGCCATGTTTTATCTGGTAGGTGTGAGGAAAGCACAGGTTGTGTGGATGGCTTGCAGTGTGGTCCTCAGACATGAAACCATGCCAGAAAGTCAACAGTTATTAAAGAAAATTAACTTTAGCTAGGCAAATTACACAAGAGTTGATGTTATTGATTTATATTCTTTGCATATATTTGCTCAAGACTATTTTGGGAAGATGCACTACAGAGTAAATTCTTGAAACCTATCATTCTCAATGAATGGTTCTTTTCCTTCTACAACTTTAAGCACAAAACTAAGGTCATCTAAAGATGGCAACCTGTGTAAGAACAGAAAAAATATCTTGGAAGATAAACAAAACCTAAGTCAGGCAATTCAAACCAAGTTATCTCTAGCAGGAGAGTATGACACCAAGAAAGCGAGACTGACCCATGAAAGCAAACATTCCTTACCCCTTGTTCACTATAGAATTCTTAATTTCCTTCAATAGTAGGCAAAGAATTTAACAAGTCAGACTCCCTATTAGGCAAGTGATGACCATGACAATTAACACACATTAACTAGGAAAAATCATTGTGCCCTCTTGAAATTAACAAATCAATATTTTGTCAACATTTTGACCCATTTAAGTGAAAAAAATATTACTTTTTTTAAACTGGTCATTTCATACCTTTTGTAAATTATTAAAGGGAAATCTTCCTCTATAATTTAAGATGCAGATTGTAATAAAATAAATAATTCATTAGAAATTGCTTTTGCATATTTCCTATATTCTTTTTTATTGAAACTTATCTGTGTCTTACTGACATATTTTCCCTTAGGTAGCAAATGTCTGAGTACAATACGGTAGCTGAGGTTACCACAAGTTTCCTGAAAAAATACTACCTTCCTGAAGGTCTCCTTAGAAGTCCACCACTAATTTCCTTTACTGAGCACTTACACTGCACTTCATGAATTACTTCTGTCTAAAAAGGTCACAATAAACTCCGGACTTCCAAGATCTCTTTCAGAATAAATTTTTTTAAAGAAACGCAGCACAGCCTTTTTAGCCTAAGCACTACCTGGTGGTACAATTAAGATGGTATTTAATGCTCATGACTTAGAACTGAAAAGCTTTATTTCAAAGTACCAAACACCAGCAAGCATCCTCCACTTCCCTCTTCTCTGACAGACACCGGTAACCGGGCTCAGCCCTTAGCGTCACAGAATTGTTGGGATTGCAAGTGACCTCTGGCTATCACCCAGTCCGACCCATCGGCCGGGGCCGTGTCACCTGGAGCAGGTGACACAGGAGTGTCCGAGGGGGATTTTGAAAGTCTATAGAGAGGAAGACTCCACACCCTCCCCGGGCAGCTCGTTCCAGTGCTCTGCTACCCACAAGATAAAGTTCTTTCTCGTGCGGAGGTGGAACTTTCTGTGTTTCAGTTTACGGCGAGCGCTCCTCGTCCTGTCACTGCAAAGAGCCTAGCACCAGCCTCTTAGCACCCGTTTCCGAGATACCTGCATGGATTAATTGCAGGGAGAACCACAAACACTGCGGAACCTTCCGCACAAAGCCCTGGGAAACATCGCCTCCTGATCCCGCAGCAGGCGCCTGGCAGGCGGGGACCCTGCCCAGCCCGTGCCCCGCGTGGAGCCGGCGCTCAACACCCGGGTACAAGAGGGGCTGGCACCGCCATGCCGGCGACCCCTCACGGCGGTGCCCCGGCTCCCGCGTCAGGGCTGCGACTGGGCGGGGCTGCGCCGCGCCCCTCAAACGGACCCGCACGGGGAGAGCGCCAGCCCCGGGGGCCCAGGAGGAGAACCGGGCACGGCGCCCGGGCCGAAGCAGAGCCACCACCGCTGTCCGGGCGGGCGGGAGCGAGCGCGCGGTCATTGCCCTCACCCGCCCCCTCCCCTCAGAGCGCACTCGCGGCCCCGCCCGGGCCCCGCGCACGCGCTGTTGACTCCCGTGGCGTCCCCCTCCCCGCGGTGGGGCCGGGGCGGTGACGTCAGCAGCGGCGGCCATTACACGGTGCGGAGCGAGGAGCGGCAGCGCTGCCGCAGCCGGAGAGCCCCGGGCCGCCCTCTCCCCGCGCCCGCCCGCCTGCCCTGACGCGTCGCGGCCGCCGCCGCTGTGGGGAGCGCGGATTGCAGGGGCCCGCGGGGCGGTGCGGCAGCAGCAGCCGGTGAAGAGGAGGAGGGGGAGGGGGAGAGGGAGAGGGAGAGCGGGATGGAGGAGAAGGTCTTCACCAAGGAGCTCGATCAGTGGGTGGAGCAGCTCAACGAGTGCAAGCAGCTGTCCGAGGGGCAGGTGAAGAGCCTTTGCGAGAAGGTGAGGAGCGAGGGGCTGCGGGGAGGCGGCGGGGCCGGGCAGGGAGCTGCTGGCGGGGGCGGCGCTGCTCGGTCGGGCGGGCGCGGGGCCCTTGGGCGGGCCGGGGGCTCGGCGTGGCCCGGCGGGGGGAGCGGGCCGGGGGAGCCGCGGCCCCTCGCCTGTGCTGGAGCCTCGACTCCGCCTCCCGCCCGTTCAGCGCCTCCTAAAATGGCGCCGCGGCCGCGATGGATCCTCGGGAGAGACCCCGAGAGACCCCCCACCCCCCTCCCCCTCCGGTTAAAATGTTAAATCGGCCCCCAAAAGCGTGAGTTATTACAATGTAAGTAAAACCTTGTGGTAAGCGCTTGGAAATTATGCGCTGTAAAGAGCTGCTGCTTTGATTTAATTTTAGTATTTTTCATTATATGAATAAGCATAGACACGTTTGTAACTAATTGAAGGGTAAATTAGCTTTGGGGTTTTGGTTTCCCTCAATAGGGATCGGAATTTCACGAAATTCACAGAATAAACAGTCGAGATCCTATATAACTCCATATTCTTATGGTGATGATTTGAAAATGTTGAGACGCGGATGTTACAGAGCAATGTGTTGATTGAGACTTTCACAGCTCAGAAAGGTTGTACAGCCAACCTAGGACAGATTGCGTTTTGGAAATTTAGGAAAATTTTGTTCTGGTAGTACCTAGATGCATTTTCCAGTTGAATTCTAATTCTGGGTGTAACTTTATAGTTGTGGGTTGGTGGTGGTGGTTTTTTGGGGGGTTTTTGGGTGTTTGTTTTTTTGTTGTTTTTTTTTTTAATTACTGATGGTTTTATGTATTCCAGTATTTCTGGACTGAAAGATGTAGTATTTGTGAATTTTTTCGGAAATGGTTATTAAGGATCACATGAAGTTATGGATGTATTGGCTTCTAAAGAAGCTTATGTACTTGCCACAGAAAGTATCTAGAGTATTTTAAAATTGGAACCATGCTTTCAAACACTGAATCAGGTTGTTTTGGAAGCAAATTGTTTGGAAAGGACTGTCTATGAACTTAATAAAGAACTTGCAGTGATTTTGGCCAGACTGGCTCTTGCTCCAGTACAGATTTTAGTTCACTTGTATTCCAGCAAGTCAATGTTGTTTCCATTTGATCCAGGCTGTTCATTTCAAAGGGTGTTGCAAGCAAGTGGCAGTGTCACCACCTGGCTATTTCCATGTGCATCTCCAATGACAGTGGTCTAGCATCTTCCTTGTATTGTTTTATGTGAGAGGCAAGTATTTCACTTGCCATCGTTTATAAACTGGTGGGTACTGAGTCCTGAATCCCACCGGAGTGGGTGCATATGGCCCATTTTGTGGGCTTCTATGGTAACTTGCAAGACCATGAGTGATGTATAATGTACAAAAAGCTTTAAGTGTACTGGTGGTTTTGGTTCAGTGAGAAGCAGGCATATCACTAGAGATTCCTTACAGAAGATACAGTAGTTCCAGTCATCAGTGTTGCACAAGATGACTTTTTCGTTTTTTCCCAGTGAAGAATAAAAATGAGCTGTATTTATGGATAAATGTGCAATGCTTATCACCAAGATAATAGTGAAGGGAAAAAGAAAAGAAAACTTTGTGTCTGACTACTCTGTGTTGAGATGAGAGACCGTGAGAATGTGGAAGAGAAATCTGCCAATCACAGTATTATTTAGCAGCAGCCTTCATGTTGGCTGGGTTGGGTGGCTGTGAGGTTTGGGTAGGGTGACAGTTCTCTCAGTGTGCCGGGTATGTGATCAGCACTATGCAGAGTTCAGCCACAGGTCTGGTGATGTTAGGGAAAGTTGATTTGTTGCTAATAACTACAGGTGGATTTACTTGGACTTTTCTGCTGAGAGTAGTTAAGTTTCTTCATGGTTGCTGGTGCAAGGAATTGGAAGTAGGCCCTTGAAGTCTGAGTTTTCCATCTTCCTGTCTCTGCTGTGTTCATGGAAGTGGGGTGAGAGCTCAGTCCTGCACCTTCCACTGAAGTACAGCACTTGCTTTAATGTGTTTCCATGTTACCGGCAATGACTCTCAGAAACCTCACTGGATTGTGCTTTGTTTGGACTGTTGTTTTGTGGATGTAAATGCATCAAAAGGCTGTTTTTCCATAAATAGTTTAAAGACTGTGTCAAATATAGCTATCATTCCAAAGGACAGATAAAGACCCTACTAGGTATAAACTGTTGATCTTCACCACATTGAATTGCAATAGGGCTAGTTAAAATAAACAACTGAAAAAAAATTGAGGGCTTTTCCCTGATAACACTGTTTGATTGGATGATCTCCCTGACAAGTATTTCTTGATCTGCTGGGGCTTCTTGTGTGCAGACTGGTGCCTGTCTAGTAAGAATAAGCCTAAGGGCTGTCTTGTATTTCAGTATTGATACCTGAAGAACATAACAGCTTTTTACAAATGTGATAATTGTGTGGCGGTTGGTGCGTCCCAGTTACGTTCTTGGTGTGTCTTTCACTGAGCCTGATTACCTGGGTGATGGTGGTGGTGGAAACTGGGCAGAAACGTCTTTGAAATCTAGAAGTAATTTGTAACCATGAATAATGCATTATACTTTCACAAATGATTTGAAATAATCAACCTCTGAGTGGCAGTTAAATTATTCTAGGCTTAGTATGTGCTGCGTGTTTAATGTTACATCAGTTGAGTGACCGATTGTGTATGCTTTGCTTCAGCATTTGAGAAGTGCAAGTTCTAAAGGAGTGGTCATAATATACCCAGTCCAGTTACTGTTACATGTCAGCAGTGTTTGTCCTGTTAGTGATGAATTGTTTATTGGCAGAGGTGAAAGGAAATTATTTATTGCCAGGTGAGAGTTTTTCCACTGGCCATTTTGAATGAAAGGATACTGCTTTAGCTTCTTTCCCATACATTGTGAGGGTGAAGGGAAATGGTCTTGTCTCCTCTGTGTATAAATGCCCTTTATCACAGGAGCTGAGTGTGTGGTACATTGCTCAGGAAGGTGGGATGACAAGCTAAAATTGCACAAAGGAATAAGGTGAATTTCTGGATAGAGTTTGCTTTGGTTATTGCAGGAGGTTTCTAGTGCAGGTGGAGGCAGAGGTGTCAGAGCCACTCCCTTGAAAACACTACTCCATAATTAGCTAAGTTTGAGTGTGGCATCTCCAGTTTTTGTAGAGAGAAAGGACTGCTTGGTCATACATACTGTGTAAAGTGTTCAGGGTTTTTGACTTGCTAGTAAAATACCTTTCAATGGATAGTGCTGCTAGCCAAAATATTTTAAACTATGTGAAGGACTGATTCTGATAAAGGCATTTGAGAAACCTTGATTCAAGATTTGACTCGTGAAGTTTTTGATCTGTAGCAATGATGTTGGTTACATTTGCTTTTTGATTTGTCACCATTGCTAATTTCTGTAGTGTAAATGTGTTTCTGGGCCTACTGTTCTCTGGTATGTACCTTGTTCATGATGTATTTTTCTAATTTCTTTTCCTGCTGTAGAATTTTCACTTTAACACCTGATCTCTTTCAAGCTAGATGTTCTCTAATGAAACATGCTTATACCCATGGCAGCTGTTGGAGTTGTGCAAACTCATTTAGCTTATGTTAAGTGACTTAATTCTGAGAGGACAAGTATGTTTCTGATGAAGCTTTCTTTTGCATCAAAAAAGCCTGTGCAAAGTTCTGTTCCTGTAATGTGTAGAACCTACATGCTCTGTGGATCTCATTCCTGTGTTTTAAGCTGAGCTGTCTGCCTAATTTTTTTTTTTCAGAGGCACATTTTCCCTTCTGCTTCCTGGGCTGTTCAGGAGTTGCTTTTCTTAGCTGATTATTTTTGGCCAGAAGTGAATGTTTTAAACTGTTTCCAGCTGCATTTGCAAGGGCTTTTCCATTAGCTACCTTTTGCATTCCCATATCCATCTTGTATAACTAACTATTCTTCAGACTAAGATGATTGTGAAAATTAATGTTCCTGTCTGAACTTGCTGTAAATTAGGCAAGAAACCTGCCCCAACAGAATTCCCAGGTAGTGAGAGTATGGTGTGCCCTGTGTGGTGGGCAGGTTCTGTGTCCCTTCACACTTGGCCGTGGCAGGAGAGGAATGTGCAGCATTGCATCTGCCACTGCACAGGCTTTTGGATTCTGTAGCAAGGGAACTCTGCTGCCAGTGGTGGGAGGGCCCCTCAGGAGCTGTTCAAGGGGCTCTGGGAGACCACAGGGTATTTTAGGGCTCCTTTGCTGCTTCGTTGAACATACCCAGGGATCAAGTCATTGACAGGCTCATGTAGTTACACCTTCTGTCTCTGAAGAGTTACAAGTGTAGTGTACAAAGCTTTTAGTAACATTTACATGACCGTGTTTTAGATTATTCTGGAACACTTAAAAAAAATTAATCATTTCATGCCCAGTGTTCTGATTTGTTGTGGGGTTTTTTTGGTGGTGGTTTGTTTTTTTTGTTTGTTTCATTTTGTTTGTTTGTTTTTTGGTATGGTTGATAATGAAAAATGGAAATTGTCTCTTTCCACAGAAGGCATTTGAAGTGTCAACATTGCCAGCCTTCTAACCTAGTCCAGATTGACATACAAGATCTTAATGTGCATATAAAAATTTAGTCTTGAGTGTGCCAGTGATTGTAGCATCAGCAGCTTTCTGGTCGTTTTTTTTTTTTCAATTCTAGTAAATTCTGTAAAAATGGAGTTGTGCTAGTAGTGGGGTGTTTGGTTTTGGGTTTTTACTTTTAGTTGCAATATTAGTTGTGATGGAGTAGGAGTGAAAGATACTTGTGTTGTTTTGGGCATAGCTTAAGCTAACAGCAGGAAGCACTCCTAAATCAGAGCAAGCTCCTGCTTGAGTTCTGCAAGTTTGAGGCTAAAGACATGGATGAGGCTGCAAGACTGGTGTCCTCTTCCAAATCTACCTGTGCTGAGGCCTGCTCAGATGTGATGACAGTGCTGCTCGTGATTGCTTCTGAGCCATTTTCAGTTACTGGGTTAAATCAACCTGCGCTGCCTTTCC